GAGTTGACCAGATTGACGAGTATTGAAGGAGCTTTGATGGCAACACTGGTGCACGTCTTTGGCTGCCTCATTGACTTCTCATAACCTACAATGTCTGATATGACCTCTTTTTGGAGAGCATCAATGATTGCAACAGGAGATTTTGCCTGAAATCGCTCAATGAAGGCAGACACGATGTGAAGGAACTCAGGGGAGCAGGAGCCCCTAATCCCAACGGGCAGTTCAATGGCAATGTTAGTATAAGTCGTTACATCACTGTCGGAGAAAGAGAAAAACGGGTCGATATCCACAACGGGAGGGTTACCCCTCGGTGAAGTACCATCTTTGCGCAAGTCCTTTTCCGAAGGGAGTTGTGATGTATCAAGGACGGTCTTATGGAGAGAGAAGTCCGGCATGACCCACGCATTTGACACACCAGATATGCTTACTGATCCATCCTTGAACGTATCCGGGTACTTAGATGCTGTAGGAGTTGAACCGACTGTCGCTGCCCGATGCAGCTTTTGATTCCTCCCCATTCTAGATGGCATATTTGTTGGTCGAGTGGCTGTACGTGTTTCTCGTTTAGGTACGCTCTTCACGCTCAACGTATCTTGCAGAACAAGAAAGCTTCTCGAACTCAGATGGCTTCTGGCTGCAGAAAAGCGTCGCCTCGGCGGTTGCAAGGACCCTAAGGCGGAGTGTTTCGAAATAGGCTCAGGCATTGTAGGTATAGGAATAGTCGGTGGTACAGAATCATCTTCATTGTGCTGCAGCGAGTCGGGATCCATGTCCTCCCAATCCATGAGTAGCCACGGCGTCCGCTGTGTCCTTTTATCATGCACCTTGATATGCTCCTGTTGTAGGTTCCGGCTTTCATTAATATCACTTCTTCTTTGAACCATCATAATCTTCAAATTAGACTGGATAAGCGCGAGAGGCGTGATTTCCGTATGCAGCAAAATTCCAAATCGACCCAAGAACTGGTAGTCGATTGCGGCAATGGAAAGGTCCGGTATGAGGAGCTTCATCCGCTTAGAAAACTTTGCATTCGCCAGATCATTGAACTCTGTCGTTATTGGCCCAGACATGACCATCAGCGCGGCTTGGTCTAGGAGAACAGAAAGATGGATAGAATCCACCTTGGCCCGTAAGAAGGTGACATCATGAAGCTGGATCGGAGATAATGGTGGCAGCGCATTTTCCTCATTGTCAAACGTCAAGTCGAAGCTCTGCAATGCTGCTACAAGACAGCTCAAGAATTCGGGCGAGCACTCCCCAATAATGCGACCAATTCCAAAGTCCCAATTGCAGACATAGGTAGGTTCAGCAGGGGGCAGTCCGAATAGACGGTGGCCGTATATAGAAACACCATCGATGAAAAGTTGGGTCTCCGCGGGAAGGACTTTCTCCTCTACCTCACTGGATTCCAAGCCCACCTTGAGAGGGGCTAGGGAGAACTGCAAGTCCATGTAGTAGTTCGTGAATCGAAGGTCAGCCTCCAGCAAAGGCGCGGTAAGCCTTAGACAGTCGGAGTAACCATAGATATTTCCTGGGAAGAGCGCGCAAGGACTGTTGACAGTTACGTGTACGATCACATCGAGGTCGTTTGACTTCTTGTTTGGGTTGACTCCGCCATGCGATCCAGACTCCTCCTGCTGGTATGCGTGCTCCTGATACTCCTCTAGAGTTTTGAAATGCATTTCTTCTCCAAAATAGTTCTCTCTGATTGTCATGAATGACCGTATCAAGAACCCAAATAGATAGAGCCTGGGAGAAAACCCGTCAATGTTTAACAATAACGTATCTGTCAGCTCCGGGGATGTTGACAGATAGTAGTTATATGAACCATCAATGAAGAGGCTTTTCAACGTGGCAGTCGATTTATCTTGCAGAAAAGAATGCAGCGTATCCCATACTGGAGTCAGATAGTCTATGCCTCCATCCTCCAGATTGACGCTGAACCCAATGGTGTTCTGCTCAGGCTGATACTTGCTCAAAGGGATGCTGATGTCGGAAGTGAGTGTCGTGCCTTTGATAGCCAATGAGCGATTGTCATTCAGATCCGAAGGGTTGCTGACAATGTTCATATCATTGACGTTCAGAAACAAGCAAAAATTGTCAAAAGACAGTTTGAGCTTGTATATGAACGGTACGAACGTGTGATAGTCCTGTGGGGGGCCCGACGCCCAGTCAGAGACGAGATCCGTCACAAGGAAAATATGATCGCGCAGTAAAAATAGTTCCATATCGGTGCTTTTAACGTCGAACACCCAGGTCCGAAGGCTGTTCCAAGATAGTGGTACGGAGAGATCGCAGCTAACAAGTTGTCTAGGACATTGCCACAACAGCGCATGGTTGACACTGGACAACATCTTCGTTTCTCGAAGATCGAGGTCAAGCTGGCTATGGAACCCTGAGGCCGATGCTACCATATCCATGGCATAATTTATGGTGGAATCGCCCGCGACGCGGAGTGAAAACCATCCGAAAGGGCGTATGTCAGGGCCAATATGGCCTTTATCCCCGTCTCCTGCGCGCGACTGCCTTCGGCTTGATTGCTTTCGGAGTTTGGAAACACCTCGTATTGCGTCAGCACGGCCTTTCCACTGCCAATCCTTTGAAGGCTCCCTGGTTGGGATGCGCAACGTCAACTCTTCGTTGATTTCGATCCGTAGGCGAAATACAGAGTTCTTTCTCAGCTCACCGAGGGTCGGCGGGTCAACCGGCTGCGAGCTTTTGTAGGCATTTGGGAAAAATATATTTTGCAAGCCTACTCGCTCTCTATCAGCCCAAGGACCATAGTTGATAGTGCCGCCGCTGATCTTCACATCAATTCCCCATTCCGGAGGTGGTGCGCCATTGATATCCGATGCCGAAGTTGAAGGTGCCGGTGCCGGTGCCGGTACACCGGGGGACGACTTGACACAACCAGGGATATCCCAGTAGTATGCCACAGTCATGCTAGGACTATCAATCAGTGTGGAAAACCTAGCATATTCGACAGGGTTCCACTCTTCGTGGTCATCCTGGGAGCTTTCATCCAAATATCGAGAAAGACCAACCCAGCGTGTGTCATCGGGGAAGTCGACCGAGCTTCGAGGAGCCGCCTCTGGGTTCTTCTCATGTATATGGAATGATTCAACGGAAGTCTGGAAGTACGGAATAAGATCACGGATACTGTGCCAGACCCGGCGCTTTTGCAGTTGGTAGTTGAAAATCGTGTCGCGTTTGCGTTTCGTTTCCATTTGCTCCGACCGGGTTGAACCGAGGCTTTTCGCAGCAGCGATCTGATTCTGCTTGAAGTCCGGGTTGGGTCGCATCTGTATGACCGGGTGGGTGAAGTCAAAAGAGAACACTTGCCGGTATCGGTCGAGGGGACCAGAATCGCAGGCTTCGATCAAACCCGTGGCGCCATCAAAGATAGCAGTCAGTACAGATCTTGTATTTTCGTTGCCCATGACGATAGCACCTTTGTCACACTCGATTCTAATGGGCAGGAGCCGGAGCAACCTAGATAGGCTCTCCCCTACCTCTTGCCCATTGCCTTCCGAAGCCGCAGACGCAACGGTCTCCTTCATATCGCTATTGCGACGACTGCCATGAATATCGGACGCCTGGTCAGGCGTATGCCCCGCAGAGCCATCCATTGTATCATCTTTCAGTCGGGAATCCAAGGTATTGCTTCCAGGATACTGCGGTCTGGTGAACGATGGCGCGGACGGCGGGGGGCTGAAGCCCGCAAGGATTCCTTCGTAGGCTGGAGTTCGATTATATACAAACCACTCCAGACCGTAAAGCTTGGCGGTAATGCGACAAGGAAGCGAGTTCGTACTTTTCAGCCCCCCTTGTTCGCCTCTATCGCTACTGTTGCTCGCGCCGGCACTGGCGGTTCCATTGTGTTGGGTTTCATCCTGTGATTGTTGATTGTCGGGTCTACCATTCGCAAGGTCCGTCTGCCTCACTGAGTGTCTCCAATAATGCCATGTTATAAAACCTCCATGCACAAAAATAGTTTCGTTCACCCCATGGTATCGGATGCCTTTGAAGAAGATCCGGCCTCCCAATAGGGATATCTGAAGCGCACGGATGTCGACATAGGCACGATAGTAATGCCAAGTATAAGCGCGGATTCCGTATGACAAGAGGGTCGCAAAGAGGCGATTGAAGTAGAGTAAAAAGAACAATACACTGGGTAGTATGATCGTTAGCGGGTTACCTTGTAGAGAAAGGGGAGAGCATGAATAGAACCCACAGGATGCAGGAGACAATGAGCTCAAGGAGGAAGAACCTGAATGCATGTTAGCCATTGTAATATAAAGGCGACAACAGAACTAACCAGTTGAAGCTTGGATCCGGGGTCAGCGATAAAGCTGTCAAGCTTGTGCTGGCCATGTCGCAATATCCTCCTACCAGAACCCGTGTGCTTCAGGAACATGGTGACTCGGCGAAACAATCAATGCGCCGTCAATGAGAGCCGTAATAGGAGGAGAAGCATAGTTCAAACAATATGGAAGATTCGCGACAGCATTTCAAGCAGAATAGAACAAGGGAAAGGGGGGCCCCAGGTTCCTTGAAACTGAGGCTGGAATGGCGGGTTGGGTCACAAAAAGATGGTGGAGAGGACGGGGAAGCTCCGACGGAGGGACGGGCGGCGGACGCGCACTAGACCAGCTTAGCTCAGACTAGGCTGCCGTCACGGAACCAGTCACAAGAGTGTCAGTAGGCGGTGTCTCAAGCTAGAGCGGAGGAATGGGCCTGATGGATAAGGATCCCACCCCCCCCCCGATGTCCACGCAATATTCACCGCACGACCTTGCTTTCTCTCCCACCCGTCATGCGAGGGAGTTCTTCGCTTTGGAAGGTCTTGGGAAGTTTTCAGCTCCACGATTATACCCGTCCGATGATCATGTTCGGCGCTTGGTGACATTCTGGTGGTCTGAAACGGAATGCTCTGCCCGCGGACACTGCCTTGAAAGCGCACGCGGTCAACTACCGCGATTACCGATAACTTGTTGATCATGAGTAGCATTTCATCCTTCGGTGGTACAGGCTCGAGCCTGGCACGAGCGGTGGTGATAGTCGCTGGTGTTTCTGCGCTGGTAGCTTCACTTCTGTCTCTCCTGTGAGCAAGCTCTCCTTCCCCGCTGCCCCTGGTAGCCCCCGAAGGGTACATGTGCTGATAACAACCGTTCATCTTGGTTTTAGGTCCATATGGCTTCAGACGTACGACCATCCAAACCTTCCATCTCATCCTAGTGCTGTTCTGATTGTGACATAGGAAAAACTATCGAAAACCACTCCTCCAGCGATATGTTGTCCGCATACTGTTGATGTCCGTCTCCACTTCCATTGACAACCATGTTGGCGCAATGCTGATTGCAATAGGGTCCCTATCTATGCGGTTTCCTCCTGGGCTAGCATTATATCCTTGAAAGCGGCGATGTGGCTGGACCCCGTTCGCGATGTCTACGAGGTAAGCTATGCGCGCCGACAACTGGCTGGCCACATACTTACGGTGCTCTGCAGGCGTTCACGATCTATACCTTCTTTCAACTACTCATCAACTTTCTGGGAGGCGAGAGAGCATTGATTATTATGACTCATGGACGTCCTCCAATTCAACATGCTTGGCCATTGAACCATATCCTGCCCAAAGTGGATATCTCCGACCCTCAGACCTTCTTGGCTGTTAAGCGTGGGATTCTTCAGTATACATGGCTTAAGCCAATCCTGGCTATCATTTCTATTGTCATGAAAGCGACGGATACTTATCAGGAAGGCTATCTGGGCTTGACATCGGGGTATCTCTGGACGGGTATCGTGTACAATGTCAGCGTGACCATAAGTCTCTATTCGTTAGCCATGTTTTGGGTCTGTCTGCATAACGACCTGGCACCATTCCGTCCGGTTCCTAAGTTCCTCTGTGTCAAGCTTATCATTTTTGCTTCTTACTGGCAAGGCTTTTTCTTGTCCATTTTGCAGTGGCTGGGCGCTCTATCCAACGGCGTGGCGGGATATACACCCGACAATCTCGCCGCTGCGATTCAGGACAGTTTGATCTGCTTCGAGATGCCATTCTTCGCCATTACTCACTGGTACGCTTTCTCCTGGCATGACTACGCCGACTCCACCATTTCAGCTGCCCGTCTGCCTGTGAAGTTTGCCCTTCGTGATTCCTTTGGTATCCGCGACCTTATTGAAGACACGAAGATGACCCTTCGAGGAGAAAACTACGAGTACAGACTCTTTGATTCCGGTGATCACATCATCCCTCATGCCGAGTCCAACTCCCGTGTCAGGCGAGTGATGCACGGCATGCGGTATGAGCGTGGGGGCAAAGCGAAGTACTGGATCCCCAAACCAGGCGAGGTTAACAGTCGAACGCCATTACTGTCAGGGTCTGAAGGAAGCAGTCGCGATCGACGAAGCAGCACGCTCAGTCGATTTCGATCAAACAGTGACATTGAGGAGATGGGTCTTGACGATGAGGATGAAAGACTCTTTGCCAATGCACGCGCTCTTGAATTCGGTGATTGGAATGTAAGTCATCAAGCTGCATGGCGCTCTAGTCCAGGACACCGATGGGCTAATTGCAATCAGTATCCCGTGATCACGGCCAACGAAGTGCCGGAGGATCAACGGCAAATACACCAGCGAAGCTCCCCAAATCTACAAAACGCTGGAGCGGTGAAACGGACGCGAAAGCACCGTAAGTCCCGCATCAACAATGGCGGAGGCACCCCACGAAGTGAAGGTAGCCCCCGTAGTTCTCGCAGGGAACCCCCCAACAGTCGCCAGACAGTTCGTCAGGAGACTAGCTCATCCATATCCCACAGCTCCCAGCGCAGTCAGCTGGTGGACTTGGTAGTGGAGGACCACAAAGCAGAGCAAGCGGAAAGAGTGCATACACAGAAGGCGTTCGGATCGACCTGGCTGGAGCCCGACCAGAGGCACTTCCAGTATGTTGCAACATCTCATAGATCTCATCTTTCTGCAGCGGAACGGAACAGCACTGACCTCTCACTTTAGGAGACCCTCTGGGGAGCCAGTTGATGAACGGCCAAGCTATCTTGAAAATAGCGCAGATGGCACGATGGAGAATACCAGAGCTGCAAGCCCAACCGATCGAGCAGGGGATGATGATGAACCGACACCGCGGCCAAATTGGGCATATGGAGGGCTGGAAGAGGAGAATGTGTGGGATCGCTAGGAGAGCAGAGCTTGCTTCATGCACAGACCCATCCCCGCCGATTTCAGTGGCTTTTTTACATATGGGGGCGCATCTGCAAATATTTCTTGAAGCATAGGATATGTAAGATGAATGAAACCATGAAATGTTTTATCGATACGAGAAGACAGGAGGTGAAGTATGAAACCAGGGGAAAGCTGCGAAAGTTGAATTTGGGGGGGGGACACTACAGTCAGGCACCGAGTATCTAAATTTGTTTCCGTCTAATGAGTGATCTGGTGTGAGTGTGAAGCGTGAATGCCACCTGCTGCTGGCCGGATCACACATCCTCAGCGATCCGAGCAAATGGAGGGCAACCATTAGGCGCCGAGAGGGTGACATGGCTATCAGTTGATGGATTGATGGCTGATCGACACGCCGACACGCTGTCGAGGAGGGGCAGATCGTGGCGGTTATTGGTTGCCAGCTAGTTTAGCGGGTGCCTTGGACTGCATGGCACCATTTCCTTAGCTGCTCTGCTACTTTCAATCTCCCAGTATGGATGAATCAGGGGGACAATAGCATCAAGCGGTCGCCGCTTTTTCTGTTGTTTACTACTTTGACACTTATCGCGGGGAGGGAAATGGGACATTTGGGAGAGATGGTTGGTCACCAGAACCCTAGTACTTACTCTTGTCCCGCTTCCCTCCTTCATCTTCCTGCTTATTTACTCGCTTTCTTTGTTTTACTTTAACCTTCCCAGCCTCTCTTTCTCACACTCTCTCATATCAGCGCCCTCATGGGGCCCCCCCTCCTCCCGGACCCTCCGATTTAATTCTCCTGCATCCCCGCTGGGCAGATGTCTCGTATTAGTGTTTCATTGACCTGCCTCGTGCATCGCCTGCTCGCGCCTTTGCTGCCTGCCTTTTCTTCCGGTCCCCACCCAGTCCTCCCTCTCTGGCCACTGGGCGATGGAGCATCACTGCTGATGCGTTGGCAGCCATGATGCAGGCAATTGAGCAGGCAGGCTCCATATTCACTGGCTGGATATCTTCCTGTTTGTTCTGCCTGAGCGGGAGGGGCGACGATGAGAGCTTCCATCATCAGCAGGCTATGAAGCAAAAAGGTATAGCTTTCCCCATACTTTCTCTCCTACTACAACTCTTCCCTCTCAGATATGGGGACTGACAGTTGTCCCTTGCAGGTGTCGAACGAGTAATGAAAGTATGCCATACTCAACCTCATCTCGTTCCTCCGATGAACCTCACCGGCTATGATGACTTGCCCAGTCCAAGCCCTCAGCCTCGGGTATCTTCGCTACAGTCATGGGTGGTTGAGGGCAGGACCCGGGCATCGCGAGCGTCCAATCGAGCTAGCATGTCGCTCAAGAGGAAGTCAACCGCTCCCGTGAGGATCAGTGGACCCTCGGAGTTTAGAAGAGTCTCGATGTTCTTGACTGAATTGGATGAATATCGTCCTCTGGAGTTGAGCTTCAATATTCCAGGCAACAGACTCCCGGATCTTCCCAAGTTTGAAGACTTCCCTCTCGAGCACGACCGCAAGCAGGTCATTTCACGGCCCCCGCGGGCTCTCTCGTCCACCGAAATGGGACGGATATCGCAACCGCGAACTCACCGACCCTCTTCGTCGTTCCAGCTTGCGAGAAAGCCGGTCGGATCAGGCTCCCGTCGGTCTTCATTGCCAACCCAAGACCAGCTCCAGTTATTAGAGAAAAATCCTCCGGTCACCAGTCCCTTAATCCCTCATTTTTCACAACATAGCTCTGCGGTCACTGGCTTGACCCCAAGAGCGGTTCCTTCAACCACTCCCAGGCTGGATTTAAGTGGTGGCAGCACGTCCCTGGCTAGGAACGAGCTACACCGGGACACCCACAAGGACCCGACGTCCACGGTCCCTAGGACTCCCACCAAACCCAGCCTGCAGGACAGGCCCTTACCTTCCATTCCAACTGAGGAGGATTCCCCTTCTTCAGGCAGTACGTATCACCCACCTACCACTCCCTCCGAAAGTCGACCTCCGACCACACCATCGGAGAACCCCAATCGAACTCCAACCCGCTCGGGACGTGTTACCCAGTGGCTCTTTCAAACGCCCAACAAGCCAAATTTCCTTTTCTCCAATCCGATCAAAACCAGCGACAAGGGCCCATTTCGCATCCGGTCGCGGACGCTAAGCGGATCTACGCTCGCATCAACCATTACCAACCTCACCGGAGGCCACAAGGCCACCCCGTCTCTCGCCAGCGGCACGACAGTAGCCCCAACCATGCAAGCATCGAGCACTGAATCACGGAACTTTGACCTCCCTCTTGGCAGCCCATTCTCGCCCAAACAGACCTTTCCAACCGTGACAGAAGAACACACCTATCCCACAATCTACGAGGGTGAACAGCCACAGCACCAGGAGCCCGAAGTCTATGACGAGATGCTTACCCAATATTACGAGTATCGTCATTCCGCTGTTGTGTAGCATTTTGATCTGTCCGGGTCCTTTTCTTCTTTACTGTCATTCAGATAAAGGCTTTTCACTTCACCTCTCGGTCGACGGCCTCGATATGCATACTACTCTTCTGTCGGTATTTATATCTCTGCTCAAGGGAGATATCTATTCGTTCCAGCCTAAATGATCCAGTCCCTTACAGACCCTCCTTTTGAGGATCGATCCTATATACGCTCGCTTTCTTTACATACTAGCAACAGCAATGTACCTGATACCCTTTTGGTTCTACATATGCGCTTTTCACTTCATCTGGGCTTCAATTACATAATACATCATAAATCAACAAGTGTTTCTGGTCCAAAACTAGCTATTTTATGAGGAGTACAAATGGGGCCACAGCTGCGCAATAGAGAGACTCTGAATAGAGCGACCCGAAACTGAAGGGTCGGTCCTTAGTCAACTCAATCGCCCTATTCCTTGCATCCCCGCCAGGATGTGTAAGTCAGCACAGCTAGTACGGGTTCTGAACCGTTGACTGCAACTTGGTAGTCTCCCCATTCCTCCCGCATCCATAATCATGAGACACTCTGTGTGAATATCCACGTCAACCACCGCATAAAGAAACAAACGGAGATTAGTAGTAATCAACAAGAGCCACATTGTATAACGCCTGGATTTAACCGCAGTAAGTAGATATATCTTAATCGATAGTATTTATTTCTACTGGTGATGCGCATCGTGGACTCGTTATGAGTAGCTTATAGCCTTTTCATGAATTATAAACCTTTGCCCTACTATATCCTTATATGTAATAGAGGCTTTTTTTTATTACAATACTATGGTATCACAAGTTGAGTAGTCGCTTGTGAGTAGCCAGCGCAATATAAGGTTGCAACGCGGTTTGTAACTAATAGTATAGAACAATCGACTTTGGCAGAAACTGTTATATGCTGGATAGTTCGGAAATGGTACTCGATGTTATCTTACCATATATGTCATACTGGCTTTATATAGGGAAGTAATATCTCCTGCTGAATCAACAGCGGGTCTGGCGCATTCTGAAGGGTGACTGTATAATCAGTCCTCTGAGTTGCTTCACTACTAGTATATCGCGGACGCACTCCAGTACCATGGCACGGGAGAATGTATATACATGCGGTACGTAGGTCAATATGGCCGTTTGGCCACAGAAGAAGCACATTAGTCACTGTGATTCAGTGATAGTATCTATCCAGTGTCATTGGCTTTGATGGTAGACGCCTTATGATATAGCTTCTGGGGCTCTGCTTCGGTTGGAAGTATGTTTGGTATCCATGGATTTCATCTTGCGACTGTTGCCAGGCAAGATAACCAGCGTTTGTTGGATCATTGTTTATGTCATTGTGGGCTTTGATATGAGTGCAGTACTATTGTTTACTATCTTGTTTGGCGTGCGTACATCATAACGAACGAATGTTCTATCGATCAGAGAAGATGAAAGATCGGATAGATGTAGAAAGCAGAAGATCGAGATCAATGAGAAGACTCGAATAGGGAGATAATCTCAGGCTTGGGAACAGTGGCAAGTGACTGGCCAAGGGTAATGGGAGAATAGGGAAGGTATAGTATAATTGAATCAAGTAGCTGGTGTATATTAACAGATCTCGTCCAATATGGATTGAGTGTATCCTGATGCCTTAAATAGGGCATCCTTCATGGCATGGATGTTTCATGGCTAACCATTATCAACTATCAGAATTCAACCAACGACTGATACCTTCCCCAAAATAGCAAATTTAGGTTAACCTTGACAAAGTCAAGATCTGGGTTGGGACCACCTGATCGCGAAAGATATGCGGATGCTTCATGGGGAAGTGTAAAACCTTTCTTGACTCAAGCGCTGCTACCTAAACATAGTTTAGTGAAGTACCAGCAGAAAGTAGTAGATCTGTAGTGCGAATGAAGTAAACTTTGCAGACGGAGATCAAGCAAAAGGCCTATTTAACTGGCTGAGATATGAACTACTTACTGCCTGAGACAGTATACTGCTATAATAAGTAAGAAGGTGGTGAGCATTGAATATAAGGCCTTATGTTATAGAAAGCGGGCCTTGCCTTCTAAGGTAAGCAGAGAATGCATAACTAGGCTAGGCTACTCCGTACATAGAGCATCTTCAAGAATTCCTTTTTAAGGCCACCTCCAGGGCCATAGGCTTCAGAGTTGTTGAGGATGTAGTGTCACTACGGGCTCTCAAAATTACTACTTAGGTAAAAGTGACTTTTGGTGGGAAATATATGAAGACTATCTTTAGGATGACGGCTTTTCTAAGTAGGCTAGCTGTAGAGTTTGTTCTTTCAGGGTGTCGAATCTTAGTGTCAGCAATAACGCACTGTCAATATAACAGCGCTGTTCAGGGAATCAAATGATAAATGCGGGATCTGGACCTTTTTGATTCTTTCAGCTCGAATGCTCCCGGTAGGCGGGCATTCTTCAAGCGGGCGGTCCCTCAAGAATGAACATGCCAACCCTGATAAATTGAGCATGCACATTCCCAATGGCTCGCGTCGGCCAGTTGGAATTTCTGGCAGTACCCGCGACCAATG